GTGACAGGTTGTCGTTTCTGAAACCTATCTTTACCCTTTCTGAACACAGAATGTGCTGCTGATTTCCCTCTGATCTGCATTTAGGATTGAGTAAGGGTCGAAACAGCCTCCTGCCTCAGTGGAGAGGCCATGACCAACCTTGAACTTGAGTCATTATTTCTTTACTTTCTTGGTTTCCATACAGCTGGAAGCAAAAGGGACTATGTCAGCAGTCTTCTGCTGCTTCTTCAGCACTTTAGTCAGGAGCCTGAGAGGAGGAAGTGGGGTGGTGCCCAAGCCCCTTAGTAGGCAAGGGAGGGCAGACAAGGACTGCATCTTTCTTTCTAAGGAGTGTCTTTGATCCTCTGCTGGGTCTACAGCTGGCTCTAGTTCTAGGACAACTCCTCGGAAGCATTTATGCATCAGCACCTTGCCTCAGATAGGGTCTCTGTGGTCAAGCAACAGGGAGGCCATACAGGAATGGATCTGGGTCAGTGGGGTTTGGGGCTAGCTGGAATGTCTGGAGGTGGCAGGGATTGTTAGGAAGTTGGTCACCCAACCTCAGCTTGGCAATGGAACAGTGTATATTTCCCTAGCATAGTTAAGCCAGTAAGTATCCTGATGAAACTGAAGGTCAGTGATATCCTGGTCTGTAGCAGGTCTTCAGCTGTATTGTTCACCCTGAGGGATGGGGAGGATGAGGGTGAGGAGGAGTGAGAGCTCATCCTTCCGTGCTTGGCAGTCAGATTTCCCCTGGACCTAAGAATTAGCTGCCAGTTGCATTCTTTATAGAATGGTCCTGAAATGGCTCAAATACAGGTGGTCTTACCTGTCTTTACCCTGGCTGAGTCTGTAAGGCCATGCAGTACAGTCTCCATCCCCACACCCATAGGCAGAAACACAGATCTTACCTGCCCTGTGCCGGTCTGCTTTGGCTATTGAGTCAGAGGATTTTCCTGTGCCAGTCTCAGTGGCAGACTTCTAAGTGCCAGAATGTGGAAACAACTTGAAATATGTAGTGGTGGCTTCTAATTTGTTCTTCCCTGGTGACCCCACCTTCTCTCTTACAGCGGCCTTCCTCACACAGACTGTCTGCTTAGACGATACAACAGTCAAGTTTGAGATCTGGGACACAGCTGGACAGGAGCGGTATCACAGCCTGGCCCCCATGTACTATCGTGGGGCCCAAGCTGCCATCGTGGTCTATGACATCACGAACACAGTAAGTATTTCCCTTCCTTCTCTCCCTGCTCTTCATCTTTCTGAAACCTCAGGAATTGGATTATAAAAATCCCCATTTCAGGCCTCTCAGCCCTCTGTTATAGGGTGGGGTGTGGGCAGTTTTCCAGAATCTTTAGGGGATGAAATTTCGGATACCTTAGCTATGCCAGTTTGAGTTTCACTAGTGAGTGGTCTCAAGTAGAATGAATGATTCTTCTGTCCCTTTGACATTCTGACCCTGTCTCCTCAGGATACGTTTGCACGGGCCAAGAACTGGGTGAAGGAGTTACAGAGGCAAGCCAGCCCCAACATCGTCATTGCACTGGCGGGTAACAAGGCAGACCTGGCCAGCAAGAGAGCGGTGGAATTCCAGGTGGGGAGATGACAGGACCTGGGGAGGAGTGGGCCAGCTCCCTGAGGCCTCCCTAGGCTGCTCAGAGGCTGTGGGAAGGGCTATGTGAGGGGGCGGCATGCAGCTTTTGTCTGCTATCCACTCATGACTCAAGCATGGGTCCAAGAGGAGCTGCCACTTGCCTCTCTTGTTCTTTTTTTTTTTTTTTTTTAATTGTCTTATTATTCATATGTGCATACAATGTTTGGGTCATTTCTCCCCCCTGCCCCCACCCTCTCTTGTTCTTTTTTGCTTTGGAGGCAGGAGGAGGCTCATGAGTGGATAGGTGAAGCTTGTGCTTCTTTTGTCTTATAAACAATGCACTGCAAAAGGAATACATGCACATCATAAAATTTAAACAGTCCAAGAAGATAGGGAGAGTGAAATTTAAGTCTCTTCAAACCCCTAAAAGCTCAGCCTCTCTTCCCTGAAGTTTTCCCAGCCTTTTTGTCTTTCCGGAAATAGCACGTTTATGAATCTTTCTTTATATCAATGGGAATATGGGTATTATAAGGTTTTTTTTTTTTTTTTGGTAGTGGGATTTGAACGCAGGGCCTCAGACTTGCTAAGCAGGCGCTCTACTACTTGAACCACTCCACCATCCCATATAACTTATTTTTGTGAGTTCATAATTGATGGGATTCTAGGTTGTTGGTAATAGCTGAAGAGTAGAAACAGTGCTACTGGTAGCATCCATATACTTTTATGCTTTTGCCCAAATGTGCAAGTGTATTGTAGGATAACTTTCTAAGAGTATTTCCCAGCCTAGTGATTTTGAACAGCAGGAAGGCAGAATGGACCTAAGGAAGCCCAATATTTGTGAGTGGAGAAATGTGATATGTGAGTGGAAACTGGAGGTGTGGTGTAGATGTTTTGAGGGAACCCAGAACAAGGGAGCCTTAGACCTGAAAACCCCTTCATTTGTCCAGTCAGTGTCTATTGTGTAATTTCCCTCCCACCCTCTCTATCACCTCTGTTTGAATCAGGAAGCACAAGCCTATGCAGATGACAACAGCTTGCTGTTCATGGAGACATCAGCAAAGACTGCAATGAACGTGAATGAAATTTTCATGGCAATAGGTAAGTTACCTCTCCTCCCCAGCCCACCACCACTCAGGACATAAAGCACTTGTGTGCTGTCTTCTAGTGGATCTGTGGGGTCCCTTCAACAGATTTTTCACCATTTTTAACTTTCTGATAAAATCATTGTCTGACTCCCATTTGTATGTAGTTCACCCCAGAAGTTTCTAAAGCCTGGGCCAAAGTCTCAACCCTTTGCTTTCTGACCTTTAGCTTGTTGCCCATTTTAGGCCTGCCACTACCATCCCCTACTCCTTCACAGGGTTTTTAGCTCATTTGGCTCAGGAGTCATCCTGCCTGGATTCAAATCCTGGCTGTACCACTTAGCTCTGTGGTCTTGGGCATGTTCTTTTTTGTTTGTTTTGTTTTTTGAAACAAGGCCTCATTATGTAGATCATGTTGATCTTGAGCTTTCTATCCTCCTGCTGCCGTCTCCCTAGTGCTGGGATTACAGGCTTACAAACGTGTACTGCAATACCCAGCTCTGGGGAAAGTCCTTTAACTTCTCTTTGCCTCAGTTTTCCAAAGCACTCAGAATGCATCTAGAGCACAGAGCCCTCTGTGTGCTAATTGTCACTGATGGGTGGTAAAAGACAGTTTCTGTTCCAGTACAATTAGGGGAGAGTCTTGGGGTGGCCCCATAGATGCATTTTCCCCTTCTCTCCAAATAGCTAAGAAGCTTCCCAAGAATGAGCCTCAGAATGCAGCTGGCGCTCCAGGACGGAACCGAGGTGTGGACCTCCAGGAGAACAACCCAGCCAGCCGGAGCCAGTGCTGCAGCAACTGAGCCCCCCTTACCTGCCGCTGCCCCCACTCCGCCTGAATAACCCGACTGGAATCCACTCTAACCAATCGCACTTAACAACAATTCGGGCCATCACTGGGGGCAGGGGAGGGGTCCACCATGATTTCTCCACATAACTTTGATCCTAGGCTGGAGGGAGTTATTCCACCTGCACCTTTCTGTACAAATACTAATTCAATTTTAAGTCTTAAGTCACTTTTTTAATATATATGATCTTTTGCTCTTCCCACTTCCCCCATTCTACTGCTGTCCTACTTGTCCTTTGCTGGTAATAACCACATGCTCCTGTATCCCTCCCCCCGCTGCTCTGTGGGGCCACGGGTTGGAGCAGTTACCCTTCCTTTCCCTCTTGCTGGAGAACAGACTCAGCAAGAGCACCCACATCCTTACCTTGTTGGGAGTGATCTTGGTCTGGGGCCTTGGGCAGGCCCTAGTCTGAGGAAGGGACAAGCAGCTCTTCCTTCAGCTGGCTGTCATCAGGCTGCACCCCCCTCCCCACCAACTCCCAGCTGGGAGAGAAACCGCAGCATTACAGCAGCAGCATTGTGACAGTCACATACCCATTACCCATGACCCCCACCCTCCGCCACCCTGACCTCTGGCTCTGAGCCCTGTTCTGACCAAATCACGATGATGAGTATTTGGGGGTGGGTGGGTAAGGGGGGATTGGGAGGGTATGGAACCAACTTTTTCTGTATTTTGTATTGTATGTTTTCTTCAACATGTAACCAATCAGTATCTTGTCAATATAGTCAGCCGATCGATCGACCTCAAACTTGTCTTCCTCGTCTTTCTGGTGGAGTATCAGACCTTGTCCTCTCTGGTTTACTTGAAGTTAATTTAAAATGAACCACTGATTCTCCTTTTTTAAAAAAGCCCCCACCAATGTGAGGGGGTGCTGGTGGTCATGGTAACCAAGAGAAAGCTTTGATGGTTTTCGGAGTAGGGTAGGACTGACCTGGGGCTCACCAAATTTGAAGTTGAGGATCCTGCATTTGCTTCTTCCCACCTCTCTGTCCCCTCAGTTTTCATTAGGGGATGTGCTTTTCGAATGTGAAGATTACTGTTCTCTGAAATGACCTGTGGGATTTTTGGTTGGTCTACACTCAGCCTGTGACAGATGGATCCTCTTACCTTCTTTGAAGAGGAACACTGATGGGATGTTGAACAGGTTCCAAAGCCAAGGCTGAGCCCTTTGCTTACCACCTCTGTCCCCCACCTATTCCATCTCAGTCTTGGGCCCTTCACTGGTTCTGGAGGCCAGTGACATCTGGGCCCTCCCAGCCTACTCTCTCTCCTGTTCCCTGCTGGAGCTCCTGGGTCAAGCCACAGGGCCGTTCTCACCCCCACCGCCACCCTCAGTTAATCCCTTTGCCTGAGGCCTGATTCTTGATGGACCACCACCTTGAGGTGCCTTTCCTGCATCCCTCTACCTACAGCTTCACCAGTCTACCCCTGACCCCATCCTCAAAAAAGATGCAGACACTGAGGCTGCTGCACATCATGGTTGTTTACTAGGTCAGGCTAGGTGGAACCCTTCTTAGAGCCACAGCTCCTGAGTCTTGGCGATAGTCCAGTGTGGGCTTCAGGGGGAGGCAGCGCGTTGCACTGGCCTCAGACCCACAGCTGGCCTGAAGGGGTCAGGCAGCAGGTCATGGCGGCAGGATCTAGGTCCGGCGGTAGCAGCATTCTCCGATGCACCTTCTGCTCCACGCGGAAACCGCCCCTGATGGGGTCACAGCTCTCCCGTTGCCGCTGACCAGTCACCACCAGGCTTTGGCCATCCACCTGCACCACCAGCTCCTCTGGGGTGAAGCCATGATCATCTTCACTTGGAAACTTTCTTCGGCATGGCCATTGTCCTGCACAGTTGTTCCATCATCCCTGAGCAGCTGCACTGGCAGCGTGGCCACCTGATTCGGTTCAGTGAGGATGACGCTGGGAAACCGGGACGCCACCCGACTCTCGGTGGAGAAACTGCTACCGACCCGCTGCATCCGAGTGAGCAACTGCTGTTTGAGGGCACGAGGCTCAGCACGAAGCTAGGTGCTTGGGCAGGTGTCCAGATGCACCAGAGGAGGGTGTTCACATGCCGCCCTGCCCCGTGCCAGCTCCACCCACTCAGTTCCCTTTGGCAGAGTTCCGGGTTAGCCATTCCCCTCCCACCTCCAAGTGTCAGATTGTCAATTGCCCTCCGCCCTTCTTCACCTGCATCAGAGGGCCAGGGCTGTGGCGGAACTGGATCAACTGAGTGTGCGGGATCCCAACCACGAGTCACCCACTCAGAACCAAGATCAGATTTGGCCATCTTCCCCGAAAAGGGTTGTCATTCTCTTTAAGAACTAGGCATATATCAAGAACTATTCCCCTGGACAGAGCCAGAAAAGGAGGCCTTCCTGGTTACAATTAGAAGCCCTGCCTTTCCCTAACCCTACACAATCACTAGCTGACACGTGGGAAAAGAGGTGGGCGACTCTCTGCATCTGTAATTCACAGGTCCCTGAGGCCTTCTGTTCTGTAGGCTTGGGCTGGCCTCAGGGATCACAAAGATGAGGGCCCTAAGGTCAACCCCCAGTACCGCCAAAAAATTAATACAAATAAAGGGGGAAAAAAAAAAAAGTACAGGGAAAGTCAAAAAGCCAACACCTATGTCATTACCATACAGCAGGAAATGTAGAATTGTTGCTACATTTAATCTCTGCCGTAGCTGCAATTCTGTGTCGGGAGGCATGTACCGCAGGTCTTGGAGGGGAGTGGGGAGCAGTAAGCCCGACCCCAGACCCAGCTTCCACTGATGGGCTCAGAAAGGCAGAGCTCACAAATCCCCCAAACAGGTGTCTAACGATCTAGGACGTTCCTTGGCCCAGTGGACCGTAATCATGATCATCCTGGGCGACTTCAAGAATGTTTAGAAGTAAAGAGCAGTTAACATACGGTGCTCGCTGAGGCCTCCCTTGGCTGTCTGCGATCTAGAGACAGAACAGAAAAGTCTGGAAGGCTAAGGCAGAGGGGCGCGGCGGTGAAAGACTACAATTCCCATCGTTCGCCAAGACAGCGACGCCTGCGCACTGCGCGCCGGTTGCCCATGCGGCCCTAGGGCTGGGAGCGCGGTGCCGCTCCGCTGCGGGGGAGGCCATGGCGGAACCTTCCCAGGCTCCGACCCCGGTCCCGGCCACGCAGTCCCGGCCCCTTCATTCCCCAGCCCCAGCTCCAATTCCGACTCCTGCGCCCAGTCCAGCTTCAGCCCCCACTCCAGCCCCCACTCCGGCACCGGCCCCCGCCCCAGCTGCAGCCCCAGCCGGGAGCACAGGGACTGGGGGGCCCGGGGTAGGAAGCGGGGGGACTGGGAGTGGGGGAGATCCGGCTCGACCTGGCCTGAGCCAGCAGCAGCGCGCCAGCCAGAGGAAGGCGCAAGTCCGGGGTCTGCCGCGTGCCAAGAAGCTGGAGAAGCTAGGGGTCTTCTCGGCTTGCAAGGTGGGGGCGGGGCCTGGGGTTGAAGGGGCGGGGCTTGGTGGCATCCTAGGGATCCAGTGGGAATGGGGGCGAAGCTCTAGCTGTGGAGCGGCTCCTGTACCCGGGACACAGCGTCGTTGACTTATCCTCCCTCCTCCAGGCCAATGAAACCTGTAAGTGTAATGGCTGGAAAAACCCCAAACCCCCCACCGCACCCCGCATGGACCTGCAACAGCCAGCTGCTAACCTGAGTGAATTGTGCCGCAGCTGTGAGCACCCCTTGGGTAAGGCAGGCAGCGCCCTTGGAGCTGGGGTGGAGGGCGGACTCCCTGTCCTCTTTGGACAGAGTGACTTAAGTGCCACAAAGTCTCTTCGAAAAACCAGAGGTGCTTCCTGAGGAGGAATTAGGTTGGGACTGTGTATGCCCCAAGGAGGGAGAAAGGAAATCTGCCAGCCCAGAAGAGGCAGGAGCCACCCAAGGGCTGACATAGAAGCGTTCAGTCTCATTGTTGGTCACCCAGGTTAGAGGGAATGAGGGTGTATCTTGGCTGGCTGGAAAAGGTGCAGGAAGCCCTGTGGATCCCTTCTTTCCGTTCTTCCCACCTTTCCCTCTTGCAGCTGATCACGTGTCCCACCTTCTTTCCGTTCTTCCCACCTTTCCCTCTTGCAGCTGATCACGTGTCCCACCTGGAGAATGTGTCAGGGGATGAGATCAACCGGCTGCTGGGGATGGTGGTAGATGTGGAGAACCTGTTCATGTCTGTTCACAAGGAGGAAGACACAGACACCAAGCAGGTCTATTTCTACCTCTTCAAGGTGAGTTTTGACAGAAGGAGAGTTTGCGAGTGAAGGCAGTGAGGCATTTGTGTGTGTGTTGGGGGGGGGGGCGGGTGGATATCCACAGATCTGAGCTCTGCTCCCTCCTACTCCTCCTTCCTCTTCCCTCTAGCTCCTGAGAAAATGCATCCTTCAGATGACCCGGCCTGTGGTAGAGGGGTCCCTGGGCAGTCCCCCATTTGAGAAGCCTAACATTGAGCAGGTAGGATGAGGAAAATGGTAAGAGAATTAGGGGAGCTTGGAGGAGTAGGGAGCCTGTTTTTCTTCCATCTTCCTCAAGCTGAGAGCAGAAGAGAGTTCAGAGAAGGGGCACATTCCTTGCTAACTTCAGAGTGGGCATGGGGGTAGGGAAGGACAGAGTTTCTCTTTTGCAGAGAGTCCCAGACTGAGAGGAAAGCCTCCCGTTGAGGGGCATCTTTCTTTGGATGAGAAGCCTCTGTTAACTGTTATGCCTCCTTCTGGTTTGCCTTTCTGCCTCTCTCTCAGGGTGTACTGAACTTTGTGCAGTACAAGTTTAGCCACCTGGCTCCCCGGGAGCGGCAGACAATGTTCGAGCTCTCAAAGATGTTCCTGCTCTGCCTTAACTACTGGAAGCTTGAGACCCCTGCCCAGTTTCGGCAGAGGTCCCAGTCTGAGGATGTAGCTACCTACAAGGTCAATTATACCAGGTAAGCCCAGCCAAGGGCTCCTGGGGATGGCTTGTAGGCCCAGACTGGGTTCAGTGGTCTCCCCACTGACCTACCACTCCCCCACCCCCAGGTGGCTCTGTTACTGCCACGTGCCCCAGAGCTGTGATAGCCTCCCCCGCTACGAGACTACCCATGTTTTTGGGCGAAGCCTTCTGCGGTCCATTTTCACTGTTACCCGCCGGCAGCTCCTGGAGAAGTTCCGAGTGGAGAAGGACAAGCTGGTGCCTGAGAAAAGGACCCTCATCCTCACTCACTTCCCCAAGTAAGGCTCAGTTTGGCCTGTCGGGATTTTGCCCTGAGTTCATGTCCTCGCTGATGTCCCCTTTTTTCCAGGAAGGCTTCCTGGATTGGTCCCTCCTGTCCCTCCATGGGCCTTCTGGGACCTGGGCATCTACCTGGCAAACTTGCCCATGGTCCAGAAGCAACTTGCTAGTATTTGCCTTTGCGCGAGCTAGTCTGGGGATGGCAGGTACATGGCCCAAGCTAACGCTACTCCCTCCCATACCCCGGTAGACATTACTAATTGTTTCCCTTGGGGCCTGCACACAGCCCCAGAATCCTTCCACCCTCAGCACTCCAAGAGACCAGAGCTGACACTTGAGATAAAACCAGTTCCCAGCTCTTTTCTGTTCTTTCTACACCACACCTTCCATTCGAATGTGGCTCATAGCTCCTCGCTTCAAAAGCCTTTGCTGGGAACAAGCAAGTGGGAGCAAGAGTCGTCAAGATGGGGTGATTCTCAGCCTATTTTGATACTGGGGGAACCCAGATAACTTGGTGCCCTGCCTAGCCACACAGCACAGATGGCCTCAGCTCAGACCCAGTCTGCCTGTGCTACACATCATAGCAAAACTCTGATTTCTGTCCTGGGTGTGTCCTGTCCTCTTCCCTTCAATTAAAGGTTCCCAGAAGGCAGGGGCTGTCTTCCCTTGAGACTAAGGCTTCTGAGAGGGCAGAGGCCGTCTCTTCTCTCAGCCCCCTGAAATCAGGGTCTGTCTGATCAACCTCCAGTCCCTCTGGGCCTGGCCCAGGCTGCACCAAGGTTGAAGGACAGAGGCGTGGGACAGTCTGTACCCTCCCTACAGGTTCCTGTCCATGCTCGAGGAGGAGATCTATGGGGCCAACTCTCCCATCTGGGAGTCAGGCTTCACCATGCCACCCTCAGAAGGGACACAGCTGGTGCCCCGACCAGGTACGTGGCACTGTAGGCTGTGCAGGGTCTCTGCTTGACCTGCTTGGCTGAGTCAGGCCCCTGGACTAGAAGAGGGGCTGAGAGTGATAGCAGCGGGAAAATGTGGGAGGGCTCTGCAGGGCCTTTGGAGAGACATGCAACACCCTCCACTCCCTGTCCCTGATTTTTTTCTTTATCAGCTACTGTCAGTGCAGCAGTTGTTCCCAGCACCCCCATCTTCAGCCCCTCCATGGGTGGGAGCAGTAACAGCTCCCTGAGTCTGGATTCCACAGGAGCTGAGCCCATGCCAGGTGGGTACTTGACCCCTGACCCTCACTTCTCCCTCAGCCTTTCTTTTTTTTTTTCCTTTCTGTACTGGAGGTTGAACTCAGGGCCTACACCATCCCCCCTCCACTGGGTTTTTTTTTTTTTTTTTTTTTTTTTTTTTTTTGTGATGGGTTTTTTTCAAGATGGTGTCTCTCAAATTATTTGCCCAGGCTGGCTTTGAACCACAGTCTTCCTGATCTCTGCCTCCTGAGTAACTAGGATTACAGGTGTAAGCCATCGGTGCCTTACTCCCTCAACCTTTCTTGCTGTTCCTTGGCAACCTTGCCAATCTCCCCAGCAGGTGAGAAGAGGAAGCTCCCAGAGAACCTGACCCTGGAGGATGCCAAGCGGCTCCGTGTAATGGGTGACATCCCCATGGAGCTGGTCAATGAGGTTATGTTGACTATCACTGATCCTGCTGCCATGCTGGGGCCTGAGGTGAGCAGCCTAGCCTGCTGACCAGGGAGGGAAGGGGATCATCACCCACCCCCACGCCTTGCTCACCGCCCCTCTTCTGCCTAGACAAGTCTGCTGTCAGCCAACGCAGCCCGGGATGAGACCGCCCGCCTGGAGGAACGCCGTGGCATCATTGAGTTTCATGTCATTGGCAACTCGCTAATGCCCAAAGCTAACCGGCGCGTTTTGCTCTGGCTTGTGGGGCTGCAGAATGTCTTTTCCCACCAGCTGCCACGCATGCCCAAGGAGTATATCGCCCGCCTTGTCTTTGACCCGTATGTCCCCAGGAACCCCTGACCCCAGGGCACCATACATGGGGGCCTCTACTCCTTGCCTTCCCCGTACCTCAGGGGCACCTTCCTCCCAATTCTGAGGCCCAACCTTAAAGAGAATTCCTGCTCGTTAGTTCCTGTCCCTAATTACAGCTCAGTCCTCAGGGTTCAGGGGACCTGGACAGCATGGGGAGACAGTAGGGCTGCGACATGCCACTCCTCTCTTAGGAAGCACAAGACTCTGGCCTTGATCAAGGACGGGCGGGTCATTGGTGGGATTTGCTTCCGGATGTTTCCCACCCAGGGCTTCACGGAGATTGTCTTCTGTGCTGTCACCTCAAATGAGCAGGTCAAGGTGAGCACAGTGCTTCTGACTCTCTCCCCTCCCACCTTCTGCTTCTGAATTTGAACCAGAGGCTGTATTTGTGCTGCCAGCAGCCCCAGACCTTCTTATCGTGGCTATACAGTTCCTTATGTCCCCACAAGGTGGCACCTGCACCTTGGGAAATACGTTTTAAGGAAAGGAAACATCTGTTGATAATTGGAGCCCAAGAATCATCAAGAGTGTGCGCGTGTGTGTGTTTGTGTGTGTGTGTGCGTGTGCGTGTTTGTGTGTGTGTGTGTGTGTGTGTGTGTGTGTGTGTGTGTGTGTGCGTGCGCGCGCGCTAGGAATGAAACCTGGGACCTTGTGCATGCTAGGCAAGTGCTGTATCAGGCAGCAGCAATTTTTTTTTTTCCAATACTAGGGATTGAACTCAGGGTCTCCCGATTGTAAGCATTCTATTACTTGAACTACACCCCCCAGTCCTTTTGCTTTCAGTTTGTCTTTCAGTCAGGGTTTTGTGCTTTTGTCAGGCCCATCTCCAACCATGATGCTCCTACCTCTCTGCCTCTTGAGTAGCTGTAACCACAGGTGTGTGCCACCATGCTCTGCCACCAGCAACACTTTAAGTGGACCTGTGTTTTCTTCATCATAAGAACATTTACGTACCTGGGGGAATTAGTAATTGTTACAGTAGCCCTACGCTGATGGTCCTGGCTTCTATCCTTTAATTGTCACAACAGACATAGAGTGCCTCTATGTCTTGTAACCGACCCCCCACTTCCTTCCCCTGAGTCTAAGGCCCAGGGACTGGGAGTCTACATCCTGGTCTTGCTGTGTCTAGCAAACTGATTTCAGACATGTTTCCTATGTAGCTGAGTTCTAGTTCTCTCTTCTGTAAAATGAGATTAATAATGCCTTTCTCGTGGGCTAACTGGGGAGTTGGTCTGTAAGTAGCAAGCACTCTGTCAGCTGCCTTTCCTCCTCCCCATCCTGGATCCCTGCCTCTCCCTGCCTCCTTCCCAATCTGTGTCCACTCTTCCGGGTAGGGCTATGGCACTCACCTGATGAACCACCTGAAGGAGTATCACATCAAACACAGCATCCTCTACTTCCTCACTTATGCTGATGAGTATGCCATCGGCTACTTCAAAAAGCAGGTGAGCCTCAGCCTCCCCCACAGGTCATTCTGTCCAGGCTCCTGTGGAGAGCTGACGTCCCTTTGTGTCCCCTGTTCTGCAATGAAGACCTTCCTACCAGTCTTCTTCATTCCTGCTGTTGCCCCAGTGAGGAACGGGGCAGTGGGGCAGCCCAGAGGAATTGGAAAGCTCTTGGGTGTAGGTTGGAAGTCTCACCAACCTGGAAACTTTCCAGGGACAGATGGGAGTCCTTACAGTGCCACAGAGAGGTTCAAAAGCAGGAGAGGGAATATGGCATGCACTACCCCTCAGGTGCTCCTAGGGGAGGGGCTGTGAAAGTTGGGAAATAATTCCTTATGGATTAGGTCTTAACCATCCACCCTGCAGGGCTTCTCTAAGGACATCAAGGTGCCCAAGAGCCGCTACCTAGGCTACATCAAGGACTACGAGGGGGCAACACTGATGGAATGTGAGCTGAATCCCCGGATCCCCTACACAGAGCTGTCCCACATCATCAAGAAGCAGAAAGAGGTTGTGCACATGCTTCATGAGGTTTATCATGAGTGTGCATTGAGTGAGGGCTGAGCACACGTGTAGACTTGTACCGTGTTTGTGTGTGTGTGTTGAAGACAACTGGGTCTGTTATTGCCCTGCCTCTCAGAAGAAGTTAAGAGGGGAGGTATTGGATCCAGGACCAGAGAAGTGTGACTTTTCCCATTAGGGGTTAATCTTGGACCTGTAAGGGGTTGTGGCTGGGGTGGGAGTTGGCCAACTCAGACCCTTCTTCCTCAGATTATCAAGAAGTTGATAGAGCGCAAACAGGCCCAGATCCGCAAGGTCTACCCTGGGCTCAGCTGCTTCAAGGAGGGAGTAAGGCAGATCCCTGTGGAGAGCGTCCCTGGCATTCGTGAGTGTGGGGGTGGTTCTTACTGAGGGTGCAGGAGAGCATGCTGCTTGGGGATGGATGGGCATTCTTAGGGATGTTCTTTCACTCCTTCCCTTCACAGGAGAAACAGGCTGGAAGCCCTTGGGGAAAGAGAAGGGGTGAGTAGTTTGGTTAAGGGAGGAGTATGGACGATGGGAACAGAGGTACCCACAGCCTCAGACTTGACCTTTCTCATCCCAGCAAGGAGCTGAAGGACCCTGACCAGCTGTACACAACCCTCAAAAACCTGCTGGCCCAGATCAAGGTGGGAAGGCCAGGTTCCCTTCTAAGGGTTCCTACACAATGGCTGTGGGATTGCCTACACACCCGGTCTGGGGTGGTGGCAAGTCACTGGTTGGGTAAGGGTCATAGTGAGCCTATCCCCAGCTGAACTTTCCTCTGTAGTCACACCCCAGTGCCTGGCCCTTCATGGAGCCTGTGAAGAAGTCAGAGGCCCCTGACTACTACGAGGTCATCCGCTTCCCCATTGGTGAGAACTCTCCATTCTGTTCCTCCTTTCTACTTCTGCCACCACATCTGCTCTTGTCTTCACTGGGCCATAATGGCCCCATGGGACCCACCCCAGCAGACAGCCCCAGTGGCTCTTCACTGCCTCTTAAAGTGTGTGCTCTCTCTCTCCTGACACCCAGATCTGAAGACCATGACAGAGCGGCTGCGCAGCCGCTACTATGTGACCCGGAAGCTCTTTGTGGCTGACCTGCAGCGGGTCATTGCAAACTGCCGGGAGTACAACCCTCCAGACAGCGAGTACTGCCGCTGTGCCAGTGCACTGGAGAAGTTCTTCTACTTCAAGCTCAAGGAGGGAGGGCTCATCGACAAGTAGTTCCCACACGGGACCACCGCTCTGACTTGTCTCCACCTCGGACTCTCACCTTATCTCCCACCCAGCCCCCTGACTCTCAGCTGGAGACACCTCAGCCTCTGAACCTGACCCCTGAGGCACTCCCAAGCTTGCAGCTCTGTCCCAGCCTTTGTTGTGTCCCACCTTGGGGAAACATCTCCTGGGTCTGGGGCCAGCCCCTTCAAGAGTGGCTGGTGGCCAGAGGATGAACTGCTCGGCCTTGGTGGCCCCTTGGAGTCCTGGGCCTGGCCCAGGTGCTAACTCCCAAGGACCAGGACTGCTAATTATAGCTTCAGTGTGTGGGCTTCTGGGATTGAAAGTTCAGCCCAGACTGGAGGGGCCCTGCCCTGTTTTTATCATTCTGTTCCCCAGGAGTGGGGGGAATGGGGACCATTCATTCCTTGGCATTAATCCCTCAAAGGGAACAATAAAGTTTTTTTTTTTTTTTTTTTTCCTCTGTGTGATTATTTCTTTGGTGGAGTTACAGATTTAGCAAGCAGACCTTGGTCCCTCCAGTACTCCCCTGCAACCTGGAGCCTATTAAGTCTCATGCTGCCCTTCGGCCTAGTTCTGTTCTCTTGGGGTGATGGACCTTCCTGGCTCTTCTCCCCACTCCAGGTGCCAGGGACAGCCCAGGTCAGAACCTCTGCCTTACTCTTAATTAGGTGGACATGGTTACTGCTGGCTGTGAAAGGACCAAAGGGTAGAGGACCCAGGAGAAATGAAAGCAATTCCTGTCAGTAACATTTTTAAACCCCACCTACCCAGGCACACAACATTCTTTTTAAGGGATTGGGCTTCAGCTTGGCTGGCTCCTCCCCTCAGTTTCAGTTTCTGTTTCCCTCCTCAGCTGCCAAACTGTGCTTCTCAGAGCCCCAGACCTGAGACTAAAGCTAGCAGGGGTGAGGTGTGGCCTGTTGCTCTTGCCTCCCCTCTTGTCCAGAGCAGATTCCAGGTGGGTCTTGAGGCTCCCCTGCCCTACCTCCTGCAAATGTGTTGGCGTCCCGGGTAAAGGGAGGACTCTGTGCCAGACCAGTTCTGAGCCCCCTGCCATTCTAGAATGGAGCTTCGACCTTACCAGTGGGAGGTGATTATGCCTGCCCTGGAGGGCAAGAATGTCATCTTATGGCTCCCCACGGGAGCCGGGAAGACCCGAGCCGCTGCGTACGTGGCCAAGAGGCACTTAGAAACTGTGGATGGAGCCAAGGTGGTGGTACTGGTAAACAGGGTGAGTAGTGTGCCCTTTCTGCAACAGTCTCAGCTCTTCGGGCACTTCTTGGTCCCCTCCAGACCTCCAGAGCTGCTATGGCCTCTAAGCTCACCTGTCTTTTCACCCCTACCCAGGACCCAGACATGTCCTGAGGGCCACCTTACCTCCTCCCCACTGCCTCCCAACCTTGATCCAGCTTCCTTTCTATCTCATTCTCCACCCCCAGGTGCATCTGGTGGCCCAGCATCGTGAGGAGTTCAGCCGCATGTTGGGCGGACACTGGGCCATGACAACCCTAAGTGGGGACATGGGGCCACGGGCTGGCTTTGGCCACATGGTCCAACACCACCACCTGCTCATCTGCACAGCTGAGCTGCTGCGGACGGCATTGACCAGCACTGAGGTGGAAGAGCACGTGGAACTCACAGGTGAGGGCTGTGGGCAAGGGGAAAGGTAAACACCTGAGGTATTCTCTAGTAAGGGGGTTGAGAGTTCTTGCAAGAGTGAGAGGTCCCTATTTGCCAAACTCCAGGTACACTAGTAGAAGCAAACCTGGCTATAGTGGAGGATCTTGGGCAAGTCTGTTTCCACAGCTGAACCTCAGTTTACTAATCTGTAAATTGAAGATAAATCACTCCTACTTGACTCCTTCTCTGGGACCCAGGTGCAAGTTAGGAAGGGAAGAAGTTCTTAGATGTGTGTGGGGACTGCATGGACCTAAGCTGATGGGAGGAAAGGCTGTGCAAATGCAGGTTACAGCTTTCCCCTATCTTCCTCAGCCTTCTCCCTGATCGTGGTGGATGAGTGTCACCATACACACAAGGACACCATCTACAATGTTATCCTGAGCCGCTACCTAGAGCATAAACTGCAGAGGACATGGCCCTTACCCCAGGTGCTGGGTCTTACAGCTTCCCCAGGCACTGGCGGGGCCTCCAAGCTTGATGGGGCCATTGATCACATCCTGCAGGTCAGCTTGACCCCTGTGGCCCTCCCATCACCAGACCTACCAAGAAGGGACCTCCCTACTTACCCTGCCTATACCCCATCCCTACCAACCCCAGCCAGGCTCTCTCTGGCAGGGTCTAGGCCCCTTCTTCACCCAAGGTTCAGTCTCTAATGGCTTCTTGTGGCACTTAGAATAAGCTGACTTTTGGCTTACAAAATTCCACATGTAGATCTAGCCCCTGCCTACCTCTCCAATCTCATTTCCCACATTGTCCCTTTCACTCATTCTATAGCTGCACTGATCTTTTCCTGTATCTTGGACATATAGCCCTTATTTTCATCTCAGGACCTTTGCATTTACTAGTCCTTGTGCCTGAAATAGCCTTCCCCTTGAAATTCCCCCATCTGATTTCTTCTTGTCATTCACTGGACAGCTTTACTGTCAGATCTTCTCAGTCTTCCCTAATTGTACCTTCTGCTCTCTATCAGTTTGTCTTTTCAGAGTTCATTCATTACTACCTCATCTTATTATTCTTTAATGGTTTATTAACCATCTCCTCAACTCTAACCTAAGTTCCTCTGTATCTCCAGTGCCTAGAATCTTAGCAATGCAATATTTATTTGTTGAAGCAATGAATCCCTACCTGGTCCTGCTTCAGGCTCTCCTGTCCTCAGCTAGGACCCATCTTGCCTCCAAATTCTGCCCTCTTTCCCTACAAACCTCTCCCCTTTCCAGTGAAGCCCTTTCTGTTGCCTCCAGCTCTGTGCCAACTTGGATACATGGCGCATCATGTCACCTGAGAAGTACCGCCCCCAGCTGCAAGAGCATAATCCAAAGCCCTACAAGCAGTATGATCTCTGTCAAAAGCGCAGCCAGGTGTGTGTGTGGGCAGGAATCAGGTGTGGTGGGAAGTTGGGAAACTAGGCTTGGGCACTGATTCCACCTTCACTAGTTCTGTGACTTCAGGGCCCTTGCTTATACCGCTGAGCTTCCATTTCTCCTTTCTATGCAATGGGGCAGATACAGTCCATGCCCACAGCCTGCAAACATCTGCCAAATCCCCTGGCATGCTGTGGGGTGCTCTGCAAACCATGACACTGGGACACTTTGTGCTGAGGCTGTCTCAAGTTTTCTGCTTTGGTGGTGACATAGCTGGTGTCTGTGATGACAGGACTGGACAAGGACTAGACATCCTGGTGCCCAGGCCAGAGAGCAAGGGCACAGAGTGGGTAAGACATTAGAAAGTGGGTATAGGAACCTGCCCCCTCCTCCAGCATAGCCAGCCTTCCTCTGGAGCTCTCTCCTCTTGGATAAACAGCTGGAGGTCCCATTCCTCCACTGTGGATGGAAACTCCCTCACACCTTCACTCTTCTTGCCCAGGACCCATTTGGGGACTTGCTGAAGAAGCTCATGAGCCACATCCACGACCACCTGGAGATGCCTGAGTTGAACCGGGACTTTGGGACGCAGATGTATGAGCAACAGGTGGTGGAGATGAGCAAGGATGGTGAGAGGAGCCACTGGGGTGGAGGGCAAGTTTGCGGGAGTGGGCAGGGCCTTCCTGGGCTGAGCCTTTATGGTTTATGGGCGGAGATTATCCACATGTATGGAGTCCAGATTGGAGGGGATCTACATTTTATGGGGCGGAGCCTGAGTGGGGTCCCCCTGATTAACCTTGAGTCCTCCCTGACCTACAGCGGCTGAGGCGGGGCTCCAGGAGCGGCGGGTGTACGCGCTGCACCTGCGACGCTATAATGATGCCCTGCTCATCCATGACACTGTCCGTGCCCTGGACGCCCTGGCCACGTTGCAGGATTTCTACAATAGGGAGCGCATCACTAAAACCCAGATCCTGCGTGCTGAGCGCTGGCTGCTGGCACTGTTTGATGGTGAGGCACAGCGGGATCAGAACTAGGTGAGGGCTCAGAGGCCAGTCAGGGCACAGGCACCAACATGGACAGCAGGAGTTCTGGAATCCTATTTTTCTAACCAAAATCCAAGGTTATGGGTATGATAGGTTTATTTTCTCATTTTTGAAGGTTTGCACGGTTGCAAAACCTAATTCATGTTATTGACAAATATATATTTGTCAAATATATTTTAAAAACCATTGGAGTGGTCCCTGAAAATCTGGGGTGTGTGGTTCCTTTAGACTGGGAAAATGAAGCTAGAAGAGGGTGAAATTCAAGGCTAGAAGCCTCACTCAACACAGGCTGGGGTCAAGAGACCTCTGGTAGCAGAGGTCAACATGAAAAGTTCAATGGTCATCCTGGTAGTTGAATCAGGAGAGGTGCTGGTCTGAGGTATGTAAGTGAAAGATTCTATACTGACCACCCCTCAGAAGGCCTGCTTTGAGAGTGGGCACAGCAAAGGTGTTCTTAAGTATATCTCTGGAGTACTAACAGCTGTCTTCCCCTCCTGCCTCCTGCAATCCTATTCCTGTAAGCATCCCTCCCCAGTTCCCTACCCATCCCAGGCCTAAACCTACACCTCTGTTTCGGGACTCTTCTCAGACAAGGAGAATACGCTGACCCGCTTGGCGACTCATGGTCCTGAGAACCCAAAACTGGAGATGCTGGAACAGATCTTGCTGGAGCAGTTTGGGAGCCCAGATAACCCCCGGGGCATCATCTTCACCCAGACACGCCAGAGTGCTCGCTCCCTCCTGCTCTGGCTCCAGCAGCAGCCTGGCCTTCAGAGAGTGGGCATCAGGGCCCAGGTGCTGATTGGGGCTGGCAACAGCAGCCAGAGCACCCACATGACCCAGGTGTGGGCTTTGGGGAAGATACAGGGGTTGGGGTGTTCTGTAGGGGAGAAAGGTTCTCAGCACAGAGTCATTGGGGCAGGAAAACCCTGAGAGAAAGGGGCATTGAATATACCCAGGCAGAAGGACAGCGAGTTGGGCAAACACTGAGATATCTGGTAGTAGAGCAGAGGGCAATGCCTTGAGGGTATGTGGGGAGAGTCGGGTAATGGAATTCCTCAGGGCAGAGGATCAGGGATTTGGGGTCCCTTGTGAGAGAAGAACAGGGCCTGTAGGAGTTCCTAGGGTAAAAGGCAGGGGACTCAGGTGTCCCTAGGGGAGATAGGGATTGTTGAGGGCAAAGGTGGAAGACTCTAGGTTATTAGAGAGATGGGCCAAGATAGTAAAAAAGGCTGTACCAAGAGAGGCTGCTCTGGCAGGTAAATGGGCCCAAATCCCCAGCCTCTTATTCCTTCCTGCACCCTCCAACAGAGAGATCAGCAAGAAGTGATCCAGAAATTCCGGGGGGGCTCACTGAACCTTCTGGTGGCCACAAGTGTGGCAGAGGAGGGGCTGGACATTGCTCAGTGCAGTGTGGTGGTGCGCTTTGGGCTCCTGACCAACGAAATCGCTATGGTCCAGGTACTTCAACTGCCGCCCCCCCACACCCCTACCCTCAGCAACGGTCCTTGAAGGATCCTGTGTGAACCCCAGCCCCACTCGGGCCTCCCTCTCTTTCATCCTCCCCAGGCAAGGGGCCGTGCTCGGGCAGGCCAGAGTGTGTACTCATTTGTGGCAACAGAGGGCAGTCGGGAGCTGCGTCGGGAGCTGACCAACGAGGCCCTGGAGGCTCTGATGGAGCAGGCAGTGGCTGCTGTGCAGAGGATGGACCCGGCTGAGTACCAGGCCAAGGTCTGAGCGCAGCTTCCACAGCCTACCAGGAGGGGTGGGGCTGAGGGAGGTCAACTGGGCAGGTCTCTGATTGTAACTACATGCACTCTCTCTATGTTGGGGGTGGGGGAGGGAGTAGAGGACATAAGGGACTGGACTGCCAGAGAAGGCAGTGCTGGTTTCCAAATGGCCTTGAGAACAGGCCTGTCCTAGACTTTTATCCTCACCACTGATACTTTGTGTCTGTGAGAACACTTCTGCAACCAGGCAGAGGAGACACAAAGATACATGCAACAAGGTATGTCCAGAACTAGGACTTGTATCAGTTCCTCTGAGTCCAGGTCACTGTCATCCAGCCTTGTCCAGGGTGGTCTTGTTTACTCCTGTTGTCCAGCATTATTATTAATCATGTCCCATGGCAGATCCAAAGGATTGACTTTGTATGAAACCCCCAAAAAGGGGACAAAGATTTGACACAAAGGCTTGCCCCCTCCCATTCTTTTCCCCTCCATCATACTCTTCTCCAGGGAGCTTTGAAAAATCTCCCAATTAAGGAAAGTCTGGGTACAAATGATCTAAGGTCTTTGGGAGCCCTCTGTTTCCCTGGCAGTTATCCTAGGGTCAGGTCTCTTGGACCCTAGCCATGTCCAGGTGTCCCCTCATCCCAGATCCAGGATCTGCAGCGGGCAGCACTGGTCAAGCGGGCAGCCCGGGCAGTCAAGCGGGAGAATCAGCGGCAGCGGTTCCCAGCAGAGCACGTGCAACTACTCTGTATCAACTGTATGGTGGCTGTGGGCCATGGGAGTGACCTGCGGAAGGTGGAGGGCACCCACCATGTCAACGTGAACCCCAACTTCTTGTGAGACCTGTGGGAGGACTGTTAGGATGAGAAGGAGGGAGGTGTGTGAGGGAGGCTTCTAATCTCTGCTCTCCAGACCAGGCTTTGAGGGGTTGGAGAGTTAAAGTGCATTCTTATAAGTATGCATTTATATTCTCACAGTAGTTTGGTTAGACAGGCTTTATCCCTGTCCCCACTTTACCAGTGAAGAAATAGAGGCTCAGAGGCTAATTCACTTGCTCAAGTTCCCACAGCCACTATGTGATTGAGCAAGAACTGGAACTCAGGATGTCAAATGCTGAGTGGCCAAAAACTTGGCTCCCTGATCCTACCTACTCAGAGGATATCAAAAGAGGCTGGCTGGCTGGATGAGGTACTATGAGCCTGTAGTCCCAGTTATTCAGGAGGCTGAGACAGGAGGATTGATTGAGCCTAGGAGTTGAAGGCCAGCCTGGGTAACATAGTAAGTGGGTATAGAAATGAAACAAACAAATTGGCTCTTCCTGAACCATCCCATCCCCCACCCTCTGTCTCCTAGAGGATAACTTTGCCCCAATACCCACCATTCATTAAGTAACCATTAAGCACTTGCCATGCATCAGGCCACTGGTGCCAAGTACCTTCATACAGGTTCCCTTATTTGTGGAGAGAGCATTTGACTAGGTCTGGAAGGATGGCTGGGTTTGAGCATGGAAAATGAAAAGAGCATAGGTAGGAGTGATGAAACACAGTGAGAGGGGGATAATTCCAGTTGGCCTGAGTGGAGGGACTGTGAGTGACAAGATTCAAAAAAGATAGTCCAGCCCATGGAGGATGTTGAAAGTCAGGCCTGAAAGTTCAGCCTTATCTAGGAGACATTTACATTTTTAGACCACTCACTCTAGCAGTTGGTGGAAAGATGGGTTGGGACTAGGAGTAAAGATGGAGGAGAGAGATCATTTAGGAGACTGTTGAAATCATCCAGCTGGGTGATACTGAGGCCTGAACTTGGGCAGAAGGGACTGGATGGAGGCAGCAGCACAAGGAGAACTTACTGAAGACTAGATTTCTTGGCTCTGGGAAGCTGGGCCTCTTGATGGACAGGAAGCACCAAGGCTCAGCCAGCTTGGGTGGGGGTAGAGGGGTGAGTCTAAGGTGAGGGAGTCAATGAGAGTTGCGGCCACCCTCATTCCCCTTCAGGATCTACTACACCATCTCCCGGGAGCCCGTGGTCATCGACAGAGTCTTCAAGGACTGGAGGCCTGGGGGTGCCATTAGCTGCAGGAACTGTGGAGAGGTAAGTTGTGGGCCATGTCCCAGGCCCCACAACCCTTAGCCCCAGTCTTCAGAGCCCTCATTCTGTTGGAAAAGGTGCAGCCTGAGCACCCACTAGGAATAGGGGCCCAACCCTGCCCCAGGATCCCCTAGTCTGAGGAGGAAGTCCAGCCCCTGTCTAAGGGAACCGATGCTGTGATGGAGGTGCTAACACTCAGTATTGGGTGGGAAATGAAGGCCTGGTATTCAGGGAATTCCAACTTGAGAGAAAGTCTGACGGCAGAGCCACAGATCCTACCTTCTCTGTCCCACCCCCAGGTCTGGGGTCTGCAGATGATCTACAAGTCAGTGAACCTGCCAGCACTTAAAGTCCGCACCATGCTTCTACAGACCCCTGAAGGACGGATCCATGCTAAAAAGTGGTCCCGAGTTCCCTTCCCAGTGGCAGACTTCGACATCCTGCAGGACTCTACCCAGAGCCTGTCTGATCTCTCCCTGGATTGACCACATTGTCGCTGCAGGATCTGACTCAGGCTGAAGGGGGCAGGAGAGTACACAGCAGCCATTATCTCTTCCCTGGGCATAGCTTGGGTCCAGGCCTCTTCCTGAGTCACCACCCAGGGTCACAGTGCTGACTAGTCACAAAGGAACTCTTGGGACTCATGCTGGCTCTGAATTCCACAATGAAGAAGCAACTGGAGGGCCACAACTCAGCCCCAGACCCCCCATGCACGCGCGCACACATTTTCATGCACACTGGATGGAGGTGGGGGAAACTGAGGCAGGAGAATTGCCATACTGTACTTAGGAACTTCAGCTTCCCTCCTCTGCCAAGGCCACTCCTGTTTTTTGAGGCTCCTCATAAATTAAAAAAAAATCAAGAAATGGAAAATGAGGTAGAAAGCACGTATTTTAACACCAACTTTGTTGAGGCATAATTGATAGAAAATACACTGGACAGATTTATAGTGTGCAATTCAATAACTTGTATCACGTATACTCCTCTACAATCAAGATACTGGACACAAGCTGGTTGCGATGTGTACCTAAAATCCCAGCACTGGGGAGGGAGAGGCAGGAGAATCGTGTACAAGGCCAGCCTGGGCTACAATTGAGACCCTGTCTCAGTATTGAACACAGCCATCACCTTCAAAAGTATCCTCATTTGTGGGGGGGAGGGAGGGAAAGTGTCCTCATTCACCATTGTAATCCCTTCCTCCTATCTCTGATGTGCTTGGTGGTTATTTTTAATTTTTGGTGGTACTGGGGTTTGAACTCAGGGCCTCACACTTGCTAGACAGGGTAGTTTTTAATTTTAAAACACTCCTTTTTAGCGGGTATCTTATAGCCTCATTCAGAAAGACTTCATTGGTCAAAATTTGAAGGGTGGGGACTGTGACTTTGTGCTGGAGCTCTTGCCTAGCAACCTAGGCCCTTAGGTTCAATCCCAGCTTTGAGGAAAAAGTCTAAATTTAAGGCTCTTCAAGAATGGGAGGTCCCTCTACCCCATAACAGCTTCCAACCCCAATGTCCCGCTCCTTATCCTCCCTTAACCTCTAGGTCATCTCCCCTGGGCTAGGGAAAGACCGAGATCCAGAATATGAGGGGTGGGATCAGAAAGGCATAGAATAGAAAGAATTACAAAGGCCTAAATTTTTTGTTCTCATTTTAATAGGCAAGATCTAGGTTGATTCTTCAGGGAAAGGGCTATTTCTGTAGTAAGAGGCCCAGCAGGCAGGAGTCACCTTCAAAAGGAAGGAAGGGGGCTAGGGCGGAGATGTGACAGCGGGATGACAGTCCTTTCTGCCATCTAACCTCCTTCCCTCTGGCTTCATCCTTGCTCCTGCCTCAGGGTAGATGGGAAATAATGCACTCCTCCAGTATTTTTTCTGATTGAGGGCTGAAATTCCAGCTTCAGCTTTTTTGGCATCCATTCCCTGCTTAGAGAGTGAAACTTTTCCCAGGGTCTCTCTTCCTCTCCAGGGGTCCTGCCTTGGCTCTGGCTCCAGGAGTCCCTTGTCTCTTCTTCCTGTCCCATCTCTGTCTCTTGGGCCCCTTCTGCCCCATCCCCACTATGCCTTAAGTTATTATGCCCCCTACCAGCAACGTGCTTTTTACAGGTCAATAAAATTAGCGACTGGGGCCAGAGGGAGGGAGGGCAGGGGCACAGGGGTGCTAAGCTCAATGGCCTTGAATGTGGCTGAACTCACGGAGTCAGGATGCCTGCCATTCCAGGGCTAAATAATGACAGCTGAAGGACCTGCGCTGGTGTTGAGGACGGAGGGGAGGAGGGTTGTATTGCAGGAAGAGAGATGGACTGAGGGTAAAGATGATCGGGGCACCTAACGACCCCCTCATTGGCCTCCCCCTGGATGGGGGAGCTTACCTTTAGAGAAGGTGCCCCATCCCAGCCGCCCTGACCTCTGGGAGCGCCTCCTTGAGCCTCAGGTGCGGGGAAGTCAGGCAGAGAGAGATGTCTGATCTTGCTGCTTGTGTGTGTCGGCGGGGGGGAGGGGGTCTTCATATCGAGCCGCTGGGCCCAGGGCGTCTGGACAATTTGCCCGAACGAGGGGCTTTCACGAGGTTCTCAGGACCCAGGTGTCCTAATTCTGCACTCAGAAAACTGAAGCTCCGGGGCCCTCCCCAGCGGCCAGATGCCTTACCTCCCACTCCCCAACTTGAAAAGTGCCAGCCCACCCCAGGCCGCTAGGGCTCCGGGAGGGGCTGGACCGACCTCCCCCTCCCGCCCCGCTCTAAGCCTGGCCCCGCCCCTCCCGCCAGCCCGGAGCGGCTGAGCTGCGAACTAGGCGAGAGCAGGTGGCCAGCCACGGCGGGCTCCATCTCTGCCCGACAGGTAAGACAGCGACGCGGGCAGGTCCGTGCTCAGGACCTCGAGGGCAACACGGGAGAACAAGGCAGCCCCTTCCACCTGTCCCGTGCCTTCGTCTCAAACCTAGGGGACCCCGAGGGACATCCCTGTTTGGCCTCAATGCACGGACACCGGGCATCTGTTGGGTGCGAGTAAACTCTGAGGAAGTTAGAAGGTTCCGGCTGCTTTTTCCTGATTCTGGGGCAGGCTCCGAGGAATGGGAAAAGACAGAGGACATCAGGCACTGCCGGTGTCTGGAGGGGGGAAGGTGACTGTGGGGTTCCGGAGTGAAGAAGCTCACTGACTCAGAGTGCCCTGGGCCTCCTTCAAGGGCAGCGTCTTCCCCGCGGTAGGGAGTGATGGAGTGACCCGAACGGCTTCTGTTCTGTGGGCAATGAGGTAAGAACCACCGTATAGCTGAGCAGGCGCCTGGGTTTTCCGCTGAGCCCCGGGACACCTGGATCATTTATTTACACCTCAGTCCCCATGTATGTGGGTGAGGAGGAGGAGCAGATGACCTGGGAAACCCTGACAGTCTGGAATCTGAGCAGGCCTTTTCTGTACCTGTGTCCCAGAGCCAGGCAGAGGAGATGATTACAGGGGTGGGCTTTATTGTAAATTTTAGGGTGCATTTACACTCAGGATTGAGAGTCAGACTTTTGGAAGAGGGTCCTGCCTCTCAGAATTTCAAGGAAAGCTTCCTGGAGGAGGAGGTCTGAGATGATAGCTTGGATGGAGTGCTTAGAGCTCTGAGCCACAAGGGTGATGCAGCTTTGGGCCTTGGTGATTAGTTAGGGTAAAGCAGAGACCCTGAGTTACAGAACAGAGGGAGGTCGGGGTGCTGCCATATAGCTCCAGTTGGGACCCTCCACAGATCATCACAAGCCTTTGGACAAACACAGGTAACAACTGGGGCTTTATGTCTGTCTAGATTCCCCATTCTTTGGTCTCCCACACAAACCATCATTGTCAGGAAGTTCTTTCTCATATCTGACCTTTATCCCTCTGCTTCTGTGACAGCTTCTTGCTTCTGGAAGGCAGTACGCTGTAGTGGAAAGGATGGGGCTTTCAGGTCGGTTAGATTGTGTCCTATCATCTTATTTACCTACTTGGCAAGTTACTTAACCTCTGAGTTTGCTTCCTCACTTGTAAAATGGGAATAATAATAGAATGTACTTCAGAGGGTGGCTTCAGGGATAAACGAGAATACACGTGTAGCAGCGCTTAGCACCGTGCCTGGCGCCTGGTAAGGGCTCAACAAGTATAAGTGTCCCCCGCATGTGTAGGACAGCAAAGCCAGTCTGTATGGGGTGGGGTGGCGGTGGAAGGTATTTTTTTAAAGCCTGGCCACAGAGAGCCCATGTCCTTCATCGCCACCCTCACCAGCCCTTGCCTCTTACTGGTCCCTGGATCTCTGGACTTGACTGTCCAGGACCCCTCACTCCTCCTATTGAGCTTAGTCACCCTGTTTGTGCCCCCTTTTATCTCCAGGGTGGGGAGAGGTGCCCTGCCAGGACAGAGACCAGTAGGCAGCAGGGGCCCACTGGGGCTGTGCCTAGATAAAACAAGCTCTGGCTTGGAGACCAAGCTTGACAAAAATGCCCTATTGGCACTGCCTCACTGCCCTCTCTACCTCCATAAGTCCACAAGTTGGGATCAAGCTGCACTAAGTTTTTCCAGGAAGATAAATAACACAAGTGACTAAAAGTCCAGCCTGGGGATTGTCCAGGCTGTCCTCCAATAGAAAGACAGCTTCGGGCCCTGGCCTGAGTTCTGGAGGCTGTCAGAGAAGGCTGGGTCCAGGAGCACCCTTAAATCTGGGTAACAAAGGACATGTCAGTGCCCTAAGCTGGGTGCTTTCAAAGACTCCACTCTGGCCACCACCTCCTGAGTGGAGAATGAGCAGGAACAAACCCATGACCCTGTGCATCAGGACCATGCTCCCCACACCTGTGACCTCGGAGGGCCCTGCCGGGATGCTCACCAGCTGGATCCCAGCCCATGCTTCCTTGAAGGCAGGTTATGCCACAAGAGAGGATACCCTTAGGCCTTTGGAGCAGCTAAAGGCAGCTGTTTGCTGGGTGTGTGGATGGAACTAGGACTTGAGGCTGGATGGGACATGCACGGGAGTCCCTTGAGGTGCAGAAAGGACCTGGCAGTAAGAAGGCAGCTGGAGTGGGAGCAGTGGCAGTGACTAGGGCCAGGGTGAGAGTGAGCTGTTTCTCTCCACTACAGTGCCATTCTGGTTCATAACTCCCAGGAGGCAGAGAAACCTGCATTTTGAACTTGGTCTTCCAGGTCATGATAAAAGTACATTTGTCAAGATCAAAATATAAATTTTAAAAGCTTGTTAACTTGATTTATAATTTTAAAATACTTAGGTATGTGTCGGTAGGCCACCGTTAGTCCTCTTGCCCCAGGCCCTGCAAATGTGCTTGTGGGCCTGGCTAGGTTCGTGACCACAAGTATCATTTGTTAATTCCCTCACTATTCTCCCTGTCCCCTAGTATGGTAGCCCCCATGTAAAACAGGAGTTGGGACACACTTGCCTAGACCAGAAAGGAGTTTCAAGGTGAGATGATTATCAGTTGTCACCAACAAGTGGTCTCCCCTTGGGCTTCCTGACCTCATTCTCTACCCCAAAATTGGGACAATTTAAAAAATGTCCTATGATGCTTCAGCAGGAAGTGATGAGGAGAGGTTGCTCATCTCTGGAGTGTGAGGAGGGTGTGGTGCTCACTGCACCCAAGGAGCAAGAAGGGGCTTAATGAGGTGGGGGAGCTAGAAGCTAGACCAAGGGAGATGGGACTGGGCCCCACCATCCTTCCCACAGTCTTCTCAGGGGAGCTGCACCCACAGCCAGGGCAGGGCCACGTGTCCATAATGCGGGTTCCTCCATGAATTTGGATCTTGGGCTTTGGACAGGGACAAGTTTGGGGACCAGCTGGCCAGGTGGCAGGAGTTATCCCTGGTAGAAATGAAAGGCACGTATTGGTCTCAACTGGAGTCGAGTGCCCTGTCGCACCTGGGCACACCATCTGTTCAGAAGAGAAAGGCACACTGTCCCTTTTGTGATCACCTCTCCTTACTCTTGATTCTGATTGGGCTGTTTGGGGACCAACCTGCCACCTTGGCCTCATTAGCACTGTGAGGTGCCTGGTGGAACTAGACATACCCTTACATGCGTACACACAACTTCACTCAGGCCATGTGCCCGCTAA